ATTTAATTAATTTTTAAAGAATGTCTATGTACACGATATATAAAAAAGAAAAGAATTTCTTTATTGTATAATACTTTGTAGATCAAAATTATTAAAATTAAAAAAAAAAAAACATAAATATATTAGCTTACTTTAAACTGATTTATTATGAATAAAATTAACTAATTTTAAGAAAGAAAATATATTTATTTATTAATATTAGAGTAAAGAATATGTTTATCATTTTGTATCTTACTTGTATTTTTTAAATTAACATAAAAGATTAAAATATTTTATATTTAATTCTTTAAGTTTATAAGTAAGGCTCTTTGTCATTTCTATAATGTTTTAAAAATAATATCAATTGTTTATTTGATTTCATTTTAAAAAATTAGTAATCTTCCTCTTTGTTTTCCTTGTGGATTTTCTGCATTTCTTACAGAAAAACTTTCAAATCTCTTGCTCCTCAGAAAGCTCAACAGATCCACAAGGATAGCAAGATCAAAAAAGTAAGTCACAGGAGGCAGGAGAAGAGACTGATCAAAATTGATAATATTGTAATTTTTAAATTTTGTTTTCAACTACAAAGTTGTATTAATAATTTTAGAGCTTTAAATGTTATTTCATAGAGGAGCCATAAAGTCTGTATACATGAGATTGCGTCCTTGTCTCCCAATTAGAAATATTCAGTAATAGATTGGACTTAAAGGATACTATTCTATATTAGGTCTACATCCAGACTTGATAATTTGCTTTAAGCACTGCAATATTTTTCATTATATAATAATTTATGAGATAAAAATTGGAATCAGGACTGATCTAATGACTTCCAACTATAAAAATGGAAGATGATGACCAGAAGAATACAGAACAATAAAAATTTGTATGGAAAATGAATAGTAGTATTATAGATAATTTCTAATCTGCATGTATAGGGAATTTGCTGGTCATTCTACATAAAATAATAGTTCAAAAGTTAAAGCTATAGAAAAATTCAATATTTAATTCTTTAATGTTTTTTGCAGAATAAATAAATACTAAAGCTAACCATTGTCGTATGCTATCGGGCTAAATAACCCGATAGCATACGACAATGGTTGGCTTTAGTATTATGATGTATTGGATTTAGTAAAGTTGTTTGTGAATAAATAAATTATAAATGTATGTATATATAAATACATGTAGAATAAATAGATAAATGCATGAAATAAATATTATAAATGTATTTCATACATGCATCTGTTTAATCTACATTACATTAAAGTTCAAAATGATTCATAAAGCATTGAAGACTTTCTTAATTGAATTTAAGAAGCAGTTAAGTGACATCAACTTGTACAGTATATACATGTATTGTATATTCAAATTTTCAGTTTTTTAATATATATTTAGAAACACAGAGTTCAGAATAAAACATTTCTCTATTTATATACAAATAGTATATAGTAGAGAATCGCACCTAAATAGTATATATGGATATTATGAAACTGTATATATGGATATTATTTCTGCTTAAAAAATTTTTTTTATCAATATTAATTGGATCTGCAGTGTCCAAAAAGTCTGGAANAAATTAAAAAATTTAATTTAATATGAATATTTTTATTTTTATAATAAAGATTTTAATGTCTATAAATTTTTATACATTTTTTGTTCAAATATAAAAAATGATTCCATTCAATCATATCTAAAATCATTTTTTTTATATTAAAACTGACAAACCAATTTTTAATGAATCAAAAACAAAAAATATATATATACATTTTGGTTCAATAGTTTCAAATAAAGGAATGTTCATAGCTGTTTTCAGGAATTTACTATATTTCTAACATCTACAAAAGGATTTAGTTCTTCAGATTAAAGATATGCAGTTTAAAATATAATAATTGTATTTTAAACTGTTTAATGTAGTTTAAAAAATATATATATAATAGAATACCAAATTATTATTAAAAAATAGTAATAATTATGAAACAAAATAGTAATTCAGAATGGTCACAAAATCTTTATGCTCTAAAAATTGGTTTGAGTTATCATTATTATGTTCTTTATTTGTGTTTTAATAGTTAAATGGAATGATAAATTACACTATTTTGTTTATTGCATGTTTTGATATTGGTTAAGAATTTTTAATGATGATATATATGTTGAAATAAAACAATATTTACCATATTTATAGTTTGATAGAGCTTTTTAATGGAAGCTTTTGGAGAATTATACAATGCTAAGCATTCTTTTACTTTAATATATAAATATACAGTGTGAATTTGTGTCATCCATTACTAGAAGTAATAAATAATCATACCATAACCCATACATTTCAGTTCAGGGTTTTGTTCATACATTACAATATTTCCACTTTCATCATCATCAGATATTCATCTAACAAGTATTTATAACATCCGTCGTCCTGATGTACTCAACAACAATCTAGAGCTAACTGAGCATCGTACCCTATTTACACAACAACAAACAACAATAACAAAAGCACCAAAAGTACACATTCTTCTTTCAGGGCTTCACCATTTACAAATTAACTCCTTGCATTCAGTTTTCTCAGTACTTTTTTTGTTTTCAACATCATTTTGTAGAAATTTTCAACTAAAATTTTATTGTGAATTAATTATTTTAATATTAAAAAGTATAATCGTAAAATTTATAAATAAATCATACATATATACATATGTATGTATAGACGACTATCTTCCTAATTAGTTGTCTCTTAAGAAGTAAACAGCAATAAGGCTATACGTTAGAAAAAAGATGGAAAAATTTCCAATGTGTTTGCTTATTTTTACTTTTTTCCTTTTTAAAAATACTTATATCTTTTCTTTTTATTGAAATGCCATACTCAATTTACTCTACAAGGCAACAATACTAGCCAGATACTGGTCAAATCACTGCTTGTTTCTGTAAAAATGTATATTTTTAATGAATGAATAATTCTCTGCATCTATTTACATATCATATGTAGCACAGTTAAAATAAAATTTTCACTTTATACATAATAGCAATAATAAAAATATGATGATACAATAACAAAAAAAAAATAAAGAAACATTCCAAATGTCAATTTTTTTAAATTGATGGGCAGCAGGTATTTTGAAGACGATAATTGTTCTCATAGAGAATATTCACCTTTTATTTTTTTGACTTGGCACATAAGTACACATGCAAGCATATTTCTTATTAGTGGATCATGATGTGATTTAATGAGTATTTGGTAATTATGGATTAAAAGTGTGTATAAAGGAAGCATTAGTTATAAGCATCATTAATGGCAGAACATTTTAATGGCTTTGAAGAAAGAAAACTCCCTATATTTTTAAAGAATTGGAAAAAAAATTAAAACAAAAATATTAGAAAGTAAAGAATTAATTTAGTAATATTTTACTCTGAATTTTAGGAACAAAATGCACAACAAAGAAAGCTTGAAACGTGGACAGAATTTTGAGGAATTTCACAACAAAGTTATGCCATTTCTGCAATATAATGCTTTGAATAGTCTGATGATAACATTCATTGACTCAGTATCAAGCAATGATGCAAACTGTTGCATCATTTCTATAGTTTGCATTATAAATAATCATACAGTTTTGTTATTTCTGTTTAAGAAAATTATATTTGTACTGCAAGTTATATAATTATATATAATCAATAAATAATGGTTTAAAAATTCAACAGCATTACATAGTCTTTTAATATTTTATATCAGAAACAGCAATTCTTTATCATGCAATCCTCTAGAAACATCCACTTTTTGAGCTTGATCAAATGATGCCCAATTTTATCCTATGACTCAGATTATATCTTTTAAAAATTTATGCAAATTAGCATCTTGATCATAGTTGAACAATAGTTGAATTTTATCTATTCCTAATCAAGATTTTGCAAAGAAAGATAACTTCTAAGCTTGTTAAAAAAATTATTTCAAGATAAACTTAGATTTCCCCCCTTTTTCAGATTGCTGCCCTTTTAAAATAGCTGTAACAGGAACACAGTAAATAAAAAATATGATAGAGACCAGTATAAAACATTAAGCAAAACACCAATTTATAAGTATAATTCTATGAATATAAACTGATAGTACTAATATACAATTATTTTTGTTTACTTCATTTTATGCCATTTTCAAGCATTCTTTTTTTAAAAGTCCATTTTTTTTAATGATGTAATTACATACAAAACGAGGCATGCGATAATGATTTTAAATGAGCATTTTGATCCATTTACATTTTTTTTTTTTTTTTTGAACAATTTTTGAACTTTATTTACGAAAATAAGATAAGATTTTCAAACTCAATATATATATCACAATAGTAATAAATGGACTTTAAAGAAAGAATATTCAAAAATTACAATTCTGTACACTCGTGTCTTTATGTAATGATTTCAATATTATGACTGGTTGCTGCTGCCAATTTGTGAGCAAACTTATAAATTAAATGAGAATATACAAATTATAACAAACTGTAATGTTTTCTTTGGCATTTTATATATATAATATATATATAAATACATGTAGAATAAATAGATAAATGCATGAAATAAATATTATAAATGTATTTCATACATGCATCTGTTTAATCTACATTACATTAAAGTTCAAAATGATTCATAAAGCATTGAAGACTTTCTTAATTGAATTTAAGAAGCAGTTAAGTGACATCAACTTGTACAGTATATACATGTATTGTATATTCAAATTTTCAGTTTTTTAATATATATTTAGAAACACAGAGTTCAGAATAAAACATTTCTCTATTTATATACAAATAGTATATAGTAGAGAATCGCACCTAAATAGTATATATGGATATTATGAAACTGTATATATGGATATTNATTGTATATATTCATATATAGATGTATAGTATAACCAGAATGATGTATTTCTTTAATAAAATTAAGGGAATTTTGTCGATACAACAAATTTGTAACAAAAATTTTAAAGGCAATTTTGATCTATATTATTTTCTTTATATATATATATATATACTTTATATTGGCAGTATTTATGATTTTTTTTTTTGGAGATCAAAGAAATTTCGCTAGCTGAGTTCTATTAAAACTAAATCTGTTCTGTACTTTCTGTCAATGTTTTCTATCAACATAATTAGTTTTTATTAATTTTTTAATTAAATATCCTTCCATTAAATGTAAAATTAAGAAAATTAAAATCATCTATTACTTTGAAAATATTTTTTTAAACTTAGAAGATTTCCTTCAGAATTTTTAATTATGGGATTTTTGACAACTGAATTCAGCACAGGAGGTGTATGCTTGGACATTAATAATGATTATACAAGTACATTGCTGCACAGTGTTGACCTTGACAGACACTGACTGCATTTTTTTTTTTTTGTTTAAAAACTTTATCAATTCTGTGCAAATTGGGACAGCACCATAACAAAATAGTTAACTTTGCTAATGTAATGGTAGACATTTGCCTATATGTTTAAAGAAATACAATAAAGGGGGAATCCTGCTGTTTGATGTTGAATATGTACAGTATACAAGATGTATATGTACAATTTATGGATATATCATATTCTGAAACTAACTAGTTCAAATAAGATTAGTGTTCTCATGAAAGATTAATATGATCTTTTGTCCTTTCAATTATCGGCAACACATTTGCTGACACTAGTTTGTTGCATGACAGTATGAACCCAATTGTTAATAGTATGCTACTATAAAATAAATATACAATTCCACTAGACTCACAAACAGTTGTCATTATGTACATTTTACACATCATTGCCATTTTGGTTGACTTCTTTGGCTCATTTTTAAGTATTGCAATACTGCATTCCACTCTGTGATATAACTTTTAACAGAAGCTCGTCAGTTGCTTCGGAATAATCTTCGTTGGATTTAGTAATTGCACTAAATAGGCAGCGAGAGCCTGCTTTCTCTTGCAGACATGTCATGAGCTATTTTTTTATTTAACTGGAAAAACTTAAGAAATTTATCTTTTCCATCGAATCACACATACATCAGAAAGAATGATTTGTTTCATAGATATCAACTCCTATGGTTTTGTGCTAGAGATGCACATTAACAGAGCATTTTTAAAAATAGTAATAGAAAACCAGTGATAGGTAGAGCAGGAAATTGTGCAGCTTGCTTCCAACAAGTCGAAGCAAACAGGTACTTTGAAGATGGCCAAAAATTTTTTATAACTTCTGACATTGGAATTTAAGACCATAATCCTTGAAGATATATGTATTTATTTCGAGGAAAACATAAATAACAAAATGTTTGTGTAAGGATTGTTTTCTATTGGTCCCATTAGCCTTATCTGATATTTACCGACATATTTGACAGCAGACCCATCGACAGTCGAAATTTTTGCAAATAGTTTTACTTCTCAAATATCATATAAACAAGTCTCCTATTATTACATTATATATTACATTTTATTTATTTATTTTTAATTTTAATAATTTTAAATAGATTCTTCAAGAAAATAGACTCGTCTCTTTGAAAATTTATATTAAATTTTTTGTTTTCCTTTTAAGTTTAAAAATGCCAAAAGAAAAGAAAAAAATGCTTCTTTTTCAATGAGAAAATCCAAATGAATATATAATAAATAAACGGCTGAACATCTTAAATTATGAAACTTCAATTCCTGTCAGTAACTCATCTGTATTGAATAACATTAGTGTTTTTTTTTCTTTTCATTATTATTTTCATTTTTTATGTGGTGGTTTTAAATATATTTCAAACAGTTAACTTGTTTCAAAGGATTAAAAATACCTTTAGTCTTAAAAATGGATGATATCACAATTTTTTTCAGTTTTCAAATAACAAATTTTTATGAAAATGATTTTTTATTTATATATTTATGGTTGCGTTGATGTGAGAAAGTGTGTTTCACAACCGTTGTAAAAGTTGTGAAGTTGGGCATTTCTGATACTGTCATCACCTGAGACAATTGACTGGAGTTTCAGTCAGATGACCACTTAAGTCTAGTATAATATAAATTTTTGTTTTTTGCATTACAAAAAGAGCAGTCAGGACATAACTGGTGTCACGTGTTCTCTTTCCTCACTAAAATAATCACTTTTATAGTAGTTACCAGTCTGACATGATTGGATGGAATCGGATGTATTAGAAGAAAGTGACCTCATCAATTCTTCCGCACTCACGGGAGCCATTTTTACGCTGGGTGGCGAAAGCGGAGATAATAAATCAAAGTCATATAAGGATAGGTCGATATCTCCGAATATTTCGTCTTCACTATTCCCTGATGATGACAAGCTACCAGAAGTAGGACTTGTACTGCCAGAAACAGGAACAGAAATAGGGTTTGCACTCTGATTCTGTGCATTGACTGATATAGCTGTTGTAGGAAGAGGAGTAAGGGTGTGCAATGTCTCTTGATTCAATATTGGATCTCCCGAAAAACAACCGTTATGGCCAGTATCAAATTGATTTTCGGATGTTTGAGTCCCGTTGTAAGTTACACCCGAACCGTTGTTTATGACATTATTTGCAGACGAATTAAAATTCAGCACTGAACTCCAGTTCAAACTCGTTAATCTGTCACCTTCTTCATTCCAGGAGGCACCAGAATCAACGCGGTCATACAAAGTTCTCACAAATGGTGTCATCCTACCAGATGACGAGTCTACATTCACTAGGTAACGATCATAGTCTGAACAATAAGGATTACTATTGTTGCTATTGTAATTATTTTCCGTAACCATGCTCATAGACATAACCGAGGGCAGGATGAGAGAGGATGTGCATTTGTTGTACGCATTGCAATCATGAGTTACTGAAACAGTTCCCTGACTGCCACCTCCTTCGGGTACTCCATTCAGCATACCCAAAGGGGAATTAAGAGAGATGGGCGGAAGAAACAAGGAACTACTAGGGCCATACGTAAACTTAACTCCATCTTTCTCCATTTCTTTTTCAATGCAACGAATTGTGTTTCGAATGAGCACAGACCTCAGCAAGTCGGGATCGGGCATCTGACGGAATCTGTTGAGCTTACAGACACTAATATTAAAAATTGACTGCCTTTGTACAGTAGGATGGTTTTCTTGTGTTTCAGCCTCAGAATCTTCATCTTGGTCAAACTTTCGTTTGATGCCGCGCATCTGAGGATCACAAAGCATGGCCCCTACATCAATACAGATAGGTTCGTAATTCTGAAAAAATAAATAAATAAATTATAAATGTATGTATATATAAATACATGTAGAATAAATAGATAAATGCATGAAATAAATATTATAAATGTATTTCATACATGCATCTGTTTAATCTACATTACATTAAAGTTCAAAATGATTCATAAAGCATTGAAGACTTTCTTAATTGAATTTAAGAAGCAGTTAAGTGACATCAACTTGTACAGTATATACATGTATTGTATATTCAAATTTTCAGTTTTTTAATATATATTTAGAAACACAGAGTTCAGAATAAAACATTTCTCTATTTATATACAAATAGTATATAGTAGAGAATCGCACCTAAATAGTATATATGGATATTATGAAACTGTATATATGGATATTATTTCTGCTTAAAAAATTTTTTTTATCAATATTAATTGGATCTGCAGTGTCCAAAAAGTCTGGAATCATCTGTCACCAATGCTAATTTTGCATATTTTATGGGACCTAGACAAGTTGGTGAACTCAATCCTTTTCTATAGAAATTTTAATAATATTACAAATTAATTCTTTAACCAATTTTGGCTCAAAAATTTCTAAAACAACTACTGGAATATAAAATTCTGCTATTTTTTGGATACAGTAAATTTCAATTTATTATGATTCTTGTTAAAGAATATTATAATCAGAAAAAAATTATATCAATTAAAAAAAGTAATTAAATAATTAACAATTAAGCAGAAAATAATCTAAAAATACAAAACTGGTTTTAATATAGAAGACAAACATGTATTTACATGAAATATACTTAAACAATTTTGAAACTTTGTATTAATTTCTAGAAGCAACACATCTGAATACAAATACAGAATGTTTGTTCTGTCAATTTTAATAAGAATTATTGTTTAATTGGAGGACTTCCAAATAAAAACCTATTAACACTATATAAAATTCTGTTCAACTAGTTTATTAAGTGTTTAATTACAATGTTGCTCATAATGATAATGTAATGAATTTATTAAAACAAAAGAAATTTATAATTGAAAATGAATGATGAAATCCTTTTGCTCAAATGCTGATTAAAACTTTGCATAAAACTGTAATGTTAAATTCTTGAGCTATATCTCTAGCTTTGAATTTTTCATTATGGTCATATAAATTACAATAGAGATGGTTAGTACAGTTGAGCATAAAGATATCTGTTAAAAATCGCAAGAATCTAGATGAGATTGAACCTAAATCACTCTGGCTTATTAATTACAGGTTACTCATTTCATGTAATTGTACTTATAAAATAATTTATGTAGCTTTACTTAATTTAATTAATTAATTTAAAGAATGAAATAAACTAAAAATATAAGTAATAAAAAATGGATTTTTTTACAACTAAAATTTCATAATCTGATTTCATGATTGTTATGTATTTCAACCAGTGGTGTAGCGTGGGTGTCAGTTGCCCGGGGCATAGGAAAATTTTGCCACCCCCTTATTTAGGTATCTCAATTTAAAAGACTAAAATTCAGTTTCGTCACAGAATAAGTAATGAAAAATTCTGTGTTCATTTCAATCGGTCCAAACCGTAGGTGGGACAAAAATATGAAATGAAATGGTTCAAATTTTTACAAGATATTATTATTATTTATTGTGAAATTTTGTCGTCCTCTAAAAGTTCCGCCCAGGGCGGGCCACCCCTGCCGCCCCCACTACGCTACGCCCCTGATTTCAACTCCATCAAACATTATCTGAATAAAATTTGTTATCACAACATATGAATACAAGTAAAAGTAAATTATGCAGGAAGAATAATGGCTTTTATGTAGAAAATAGAATAAAAATATTTACTATGAGCATTAAAATCAAGGAATGAAATGCTTATTGAGAAAATATCATGAGTAACAATCCATAACAGATTTGATAATTAACAGAAAGCAATTATGAATATAAATGTACAGAGTGGTCGTAAAGTTTCTTTGCATATTAGTGAAAAATAAAGTTTATTCACCATGTAAAAAATTTAAAATTTTATGGCATTTTTTTTTTACAGCTCTTTCTACCTTGCAGAGTCTTTCCCCATGCCTATCATAGATTCAACCAGGCATACAATTGAGATTGCTAAGTGCTAAGGGATGAGATTCGACAACTAGATCAAAAACCTTTGAAAATTTTGAGTCTGATCAGGGATCAAACCTAGATCCATCAGTGTACCTTTAATACCTCTGCTATTGAACTTTCATACTTTTTCTTAGAGTTCTTTTTGCAAAAATAGCCAAATGTCTGAAGTTGCACAAAAAAAAGATTAATGAAATAAAATATAATTAAAATTTATTTATGTATATGTTTGATTTCATAAAATGCAAAGTAAATGCATTAGTCTATTCTTTATAAAAATACCAGATGATGAAGATTAGTTGTCCAAAACATTCATTCATTAGAACTGAATATATGTGGATAATCCTAATACAGTAGTTGAGAGAACTCGAAAGTGATTCAATAGCAGAGCTGTGACAAACAGTTTTGGCTCTTGAGGCAAACCTTATACCTGGTACCCTAAGCACAATGTCCATCTTTGCCTCCCTTAGTTGTGCTGCTGTCCAATAGATATTTTTTTAATTTCATGATTCTGCTCAGAATTACAAATTCATGGACTATCAAAATTTATTTATAGCAAGATTTCAATAAAACACTTAGATTATATGTAGATTATTTTCCTATTAAGTATCAAATATAATGTAATTTAAATTATAATTAATATAATTATATTATATAAAACTAGAGCAGGGGTGGCCAAACCGTGGCGCATGCGCCAAACTTGGCGCATTGGACGATTACAAGTGGCGCTTTAGTCAGTTCTGAGCAACATTGCCAGATTTGGCTTCTTTGCAATTAAGAATATTACATAGAAAATTAATTTTTTATAGTCTGTCTTGGCAAGTTCATTTGTTGCACAATTCGTTGAAATCAACTTTACAGATAAAATGAGTGTTCTCTACATAGTAAATTACAGTGTATGCATGTATGTTTATTTTCGATCAGTGCATAGGCGTCTAAATGACAGTGCTCCCGTCCGGACAGTCCACGAGTCGGTTGGACTGCTACACCTGTTGACCTTTTTTTTTTTTTTTTGCTTCTACGTTTCACGATACATTCGCAATCGTGTATGCGCCACTAATGTCAAACAGGACTATTTTGTACGGGTAACTACACCACCACCGCATTTTTTATTAATTTTTTTTTCACACAACTGAATTTTGATCTTTTAAATTGAAATACCTGATTAAAGGGTGGCCGAAATTTTTCTCCGCCCCGGGCGGCTAACACCCACAGTACGCCACTGCGCATCTGAACTCGTCTATCAAAAAATTGGCGCATGGTATGCAAAAGGTTGGCCACCCCTGAACTAGAGTATAGTTCAAAATATAATTATGTATCTCTACTGATTCACAGAATAGCATCATGTGTTATCAATATTTTAGCTAATTGCGAATAATTTTTTGTATTAATTTCATAATTATGAACTTTTCACGGCTATTAAGTTATCAAGAATGATTATTGATAACGTAGAATGTTTCATTTATTTTACAAAGAATAATCAATTTAAATATTCGTAAACATGATAATAGAAATAGAAAATTAATGTATTTTCAAATTATCCTCTTATCAAGTGTTCTTGAATAATTTCAGGAAAAAAAAAATTTTAAATACAGTATGTAATTTTACAGCATTGTTATTAAAAAAACTTTCTTTAATTATTTTCTATTTTTTATTCATTAAATGACCTCCAGATGTCAGCACTTTTATTTTCAGCATGTATCGTGCAAGCTTAGTGGCAAGTTAAAGAGCTAAATGACATTGAGTTAAATCCAAGAATATAATTTTGTGTAAGCTCTTTAATAGTGTAGAAAAAATGTTTATGTTTTGGTGAAATTTATCTAAAATTTTTACACTGAACATATTTTTATTTATTTATTTAAAAATTATTATTCAAATAACTAATACTTTATCAAATTATCTTGCTTTCATTATAGAATTCAGAGGAACATATGCATTAGGGTTGCCCCAGATGTCCTGGTTTTCCAGGATTGTCTCGGATATTTCCAACTTCCATCTAGTGACAGGTTAACTTTATTCTAAAAAATGTCCCTACAATAATGTAACTTTTTCTTTTTTCCACATTTTAAACATATTTCTATCACTGGCTGAGTAAAAACACTCGTCTATTGCATGTCCCGCAAATGAAGTGTTCAGTATCTTTCAGGAAGAACTCATTTTGTCTCGGATTTTATCCCAAATATCTAGCAATCCTATATGACAATGCTAAATTTGTTCACACTTTTATATATCCATTCACTCCATTTAAACATTAATTAAAAACAATAATACAAATAATAAAACTGTTTCAAATCTTGTGTTACTCACTAATGGGCACATCAACAATAAGTTTCTTATAAGCAAATGATATGACATGTTACTGATACAACATACAAAATTTCAGAAAGTGTATCAAATATTGTGTATGCCAAAACACTCTAATAATGAGAACAAGCTTGCTATGAAAACTCCAATATAAATCCACATTATTAAACTGCCTCTCTTGGAAATGAAAATAGTATAGAAAACCCAAGCACTATTGTAGTTTACAACCATCATCAGATGCTTAGTCTTCAGTTATGCCAATAGCAACAAGAATACATTATGTGTTTCGTGTGATAAAACTCAATAAGACTATTCACTAAACAAGTTCATATCATATGACATCATCAATATGTACATGTTTCTACTAGCATAACTTGAGACTAAGTACCAAGGAGTCAATAAGAAGGAAAATTACTTGTTAACTCCTCGTGACGAATATAAAATCAAAGTGCTTGAATTTTCAGCAAAGTTTTTGTTTTCAGAATAAGCAGTTTGAATTGGAATGATAGTAAATTCAAGTAACCATGTTCAAATTTTATATTTAATACTTAATGATAGATAATATATCATTTCATTCAATTAATTATTATGCCAAAAATTTCTAATTAGAATTATGC